AGATGATGAGAGGGGATAATCATTTCTTTCCTCGCTTTATTTTTTTTTTTTTTTATGATGGATAATGAATCTCGAACAGTTGATAGTATATAATATATAATAGAATCTCTAATTAACCCTTGACATAGAAAGTAATTAATTCAGTTGCGGACTCGTATCGCGCGCTCCTTCGAAAAAAGTTTCAACGTTAAAGCGGCGTCTGCCCTCGTGATAAATGCAATTACATCGTATTTGAATAATGGTAGTCCGACGATAAACTTATTTCTGATTGTATGCGCAGTTTTAAATATATACAGGTGAGAAATATCAGTAAAAGTATATATCAATGAGGATTTTTGATTTAAATTTGAAGATAAAATTTAATTTGAACTTGAATTTCTTTTTTTTTTTTATATATATATCATCGTTCAATTTTTGCGTAGATAAAATGATCAAGTTCTTAATAAAACATTTTAATATTTATAGCTTTATTAGAAATAATATTAATTTTAATAAAAATTTTTTGTTGAAAAGCAAGATTAAAATTACTACAATTAAAATGTTTCATTGATTTTACATCTTTTTTTTCAAAAGGAAATATATTGCATATTTATTATTAAATTCAATATTTTCCTATTATATCATAATTCATAATTTTCTAATAAATTTTTCAGAATTAAAAGTAATCAATTCTTTGGGAAAATTATTTTAATATCGTAATATTACGTGATATTGGTGTTTGATTATTCAAATATATATTACGATATTACGTGATTTTAATTCTAAGAATGCAATATAGTGCAACAACTTTACGAAAAAAATTCTATATTCAATAGAATTTTATTTTATTTATTTTATTTTTTAAATATTATTTATATGATTTTTATAAATGAGAATTAAAAGTATCTAGAATTAAAAGATCTAAGTATTTTCCTTGATTCATCTTTTTTTTATCTTTGAGGTTGAAACATGGTGAGAAATATGTTAAAAAAATCTTAATATGTTAGTAGTTAATTCATTTTTTTATTAGATAGAAATAATGATTATCTTATCAATGATTTTTATTTAATTTTTATATGAGAAAATATATAATACTTATCAAAATCAGCATATTTTCTTCATTTTCTATATATTTTCCTTTCTTTTTTTTATCATCATCTTTTCTTCTTTTATTTTATCTTCTTTTTCAGCAATTTTCAGCTTTGCTCTTCTTATTTCTTCTTCTTGTTTCCTAATTTTCTCTTTTTTCTTATTCTCTTCATCTTTATTCTTCTTTTTCTTTATTTTCTCTGCTTCTTTTTTTCTTTTCTCTTTTTCTTTTTCCTTTATCTTCTCTCTTTTCATTTTCTCTCTTTCTTTTTTCTCTTGTTCTTTTCTTTTTATGAATTCCTTTCTTTTCTTTTCTGCTTCTTTTCTTTTTTCTTCTTTCTTTACTTCTTTTTGCTTCTTTCTTTTTTCTTTTTCTTTTTGTATCATTTTCTCTTTCATTATTTTCTCTTTTTCTTCTTTCTTCATCTTTCCTTCTATCTTGTTTTTCTTCTTCTTTCAGTATTTTCTCCCTTGATCTAATTTTTCACGATCCTCTTCTTATTTTTTCTGTTTTTTTTTTTTTTGTAATAAACTACATCCACTATATACAATCACAAATCGTGTTGGAAAACGTAGTTTCCGCGCGTGTCGTGTGGCGTGCAGTTGCGATAAACTGTCGACGTATGCGCAGCTTGTGCTTTCCGACCTGTTATCGAAAAAAAGAACATTTAATCTATCATGAATTCATGATAAATTGAGGCGAATCCACGCGTTCTAAAAGGCACACCCTGAATCCAGTAAGAATCGGTTTTTGCATTGAATTTCACTCCGTTTGATAAGCTGGAAATAACACGAATTCAATTCTTTTTCTTTTTTTTATATTATTCTCTTTTTTTATATTATTTTCTTTTGTTTTAGTTTATATTTTCATTTTCGTTCATTTATCATTCCTCTTTTTCTTGTCTACCTCTCTTTCTTTCTTATCTGTTTTTTAATTTTTTTTGTTTGTTTTTCTTTTTAATTTATTTTTTTTTTATTTCATCTTTTTTTTCCTTTTCTTCACTTTTTTTCTTCTATTAAATCGTTGAGAGATGTACCATCTTACATCATAATATTGTATTTTTAATTTTTAATTTCATGATAAAAAAACATTAAAGAATGACTTTACAAATATTTGAAAATAATTTTCTTAAAATATGGACACATATTTAATAAATTTTGTAACTATATTATATAAAGATGAAAAAGAGAGATAATTATAATGATCATTCGAAATATTGTTATTTCTTATCTCTTGTTTCATACTTTATACTTGTTCTGATATAATGATGTGCTATATATGTGCATTGTTGATAATTATGACACCATATTTAGTGTAATTTAAAATAATAATAATAATTCAACGTTCGATAAAGATTTATAAATTCAAAGAATAGAGATAATAAATCAAGACACAACAAACAATCAAAATTAACATTCACTTTTATTCATTTCAATTGAAAATATTTCGGAAAATATTTATAAATAGATAAATATAAATTATTTATTTGTTTTATATAGGATAATAAAAAGAAAAAAATGTTTTATATCATTTTTAAAATAGATTTTAAAATAGATTTTAGAATCAAAATTCCTTTTAAAAATAATTTTCGTAAATTATTCATTACATTTTTTTTATTTTTACAATAATTTCATCATTATTCTGCAATTTTATTTTTATTTTTATTTTTAATCATCTATATTTAAAAAAAAATAATATAAAATTATATAAAGGAAATCCATTAGATCTAGTCTCTTCAAAAAATTTTTATTATTTAAATTTCATATTGATGACAAATTCAATTAATATCAAACTCTCATAAGCTTTTATACCAAAAAATATTTTTCAAAATTATTTTTCAATTTGTATTTATTATTCTGTAACGATAAGTGCTCATTCTTTCGAGATAAATATTATTGACTAGTGTTATACTTATTTCTTGATATCTTTGTAGATTTTAAATGGTAAAAAAATGGTATGTTATTGGGTTATCGTTTATTCGACCTAACGAATTTTTTTTTTCGTCTTTCATGACCAATCATATAACAATTTTATTTCGTATCGTAAACGGTGTAACTACGTATATATTAAATATACAAAGTAATCACTTTTTCAAATGAGGTTACGTCAAATCTTTTATAAATATCTTATTATTGGTTTCTTGGTTAATATCATAAATAGAAATATAATTTTATTGATAATTTTATTTGCTTCGATAGATTTTACATAAAAAAATTTTTTTAATTAAAATTATAATTTTGTGAATGATAGATATAAAATACTTAAATTTTTTTAGAAGATATTAGTACAAAGATTTTTAATGTGCGAACCAAGAAATATTTTTTAGGGAATTGCTGTTAATAAATTATCATTTTTAATTGATAACTTATTTATTTTAATATAAATACATTATCATATTTTTCATTATCATATTAAATTATTTCTTGTTCCATATGAAGAATATTACAAAAGAGAGACAAAATTCAAATAAAAATTGGAAAACACTGCTAGTGACTTTAAATTTTTAGTGAACTTATAGTTAAGTACCTTGTACAATTGATAGATGTCGCCAGAAGTATTAGAAGAAATGAATTTAACTATTTCTTAGTTCAAATGCTTGTTCCTTTTTTTCTTTTTTTTCTTTTTTTTTTTTTTTTTTATATGATAAGATTCAAATTAAAGTTCAAATGAATCAAAGTGATATTTCGGTAATTAAATTATAATAAATAATAATCTTTCATAAGCTAATATTGCGGTGTTAGTAAAATATTTTTTTGCATCACGAAAAGTATATCCTATATAATAATAAATATTAAATAATCTTTTCGCGATTAAATTTTTTTGTATGTACATAGCAATTTTTTTGAAAAAATATGAAGAAATGTATTTAATTATTTAAAGATTATTCGAAATTCGTGATAGGTCTCTGTATTAATCTTTAATAGAAATTTATTATAATTAAATTTATAGGAACAATTTGATATAAATCTTTATTTGATAAATAAAGAATTTTATAAAATAAATCTAACAACATATCTATACATATTTTGCATTAATCTACGCACTTTTATTTTAAATTTTTAGTATATATCACTTACATATTTTATTTTTTGATAAAAAATTTGTGGAATTATTTCAAGATTTGAACAAGTAATTATTGTATCGCGTTATATTGCTAAATGCTTATGTTCTGAAGAATATTGATAGAAAAGTCGGTTCTTTTTGTTGAATTTTTTTCTAAATATTGATTCATTTCGAATATGTTTGCGATGTACAGAGAGAATTCGATAATTCAATGTAATTACTTTGATAGATGTTTTCTTATCTATGTTTACCGAATGCGTTCTTAACTTATTAAATAGAAAAATCAAATAATTTATGAGAAATTTCACCTTCAATTATTATTAAGATAATATAAGTAAGACAAATCTCTTTATATCTTTTTTGAATAGATAAATAAATGTATATATATTCTATATTTTATGAATATCCAAAAATTAAAGAATAATTTTTCAAATCAAAATCAAAAGTTTTGTTTTCAATTTTACTTTCTAATTATTATCAATTCAAAATATTCTTAGACATAATCAAATTTTCTTATACAAACGAATTAAGTAGAATAGCTCAAGCAGTAAGACGTGCAATAATTCTCAAATCCAATACCAGTATTCCATATTATTTCAAGTTATAGAAAAGAAGATTACAATATATGATTTGAGAATCATTATATTTCTCGTTATTTAAAGAACTTTCATTCATATATGAAAGTTTATTCAGGGATATTTTTTGATAATTTTTAATTATCAATAAATAAAAAAATAATATCAAAAATATACATTATATAATATACATATATAATATATATTATGTACAAAACATATATTTTTATTTACAATATAATCGACAGTTTAATTTATTTGCAATTTAGATTCATCCAATGTGAAATCATCGTTCTTTTGTGGTAAACTATCGAATAGTAGTATTTCGTATACAGGTTTTCCATCTTCACTGATCCAAATACTTCCATTCTGGGCGCATCTCAGCACATAAACTAATCCATGTGCGATACTAAGCATTCTAATATAAAAAAATACTTTAATTGATTATATACTATAATATTTTAATAAAAAAAATAAAAGGGTTTCTAAATTTCTCCATTTTTTGAAACACTTTTAGAGAGATAGATTCTAAATATCAAGAAAATGAAAAAGTTTAAATGCAAAAATATTATTAAAAATTAAAAATTTTTGCATTAGAACATCAATAAATAGAAATCTATTCTATTTAAAATATGTGCCTAATATTTTTTTTATATTAAAATACCTTCTAAAATATTTCTGTATTACATCATCATGTGGGACGTTGTTCTCTAAATTTTTCACATCGATAATTTGAGGAAGGTCAGGGCACATGACTAATATTTTTACTCCAGTTCTTTTATAATGATATGGTTGCTGCAAAATCAAATTTATATTAAAATTATCAATATTAAAATTTCATAGAATTTGATTGCATCAAATCTTTGCAACAAATAAATATAATTATGAATTAATTGAATCAGTAAAGTATTGATATAAACATAAAATTGAATCAGGAATAATTTAGCAGGTGTCTGAGAGAAAATACATAATTATGCTTGTAAAATATTATTTAAAGTCTTGGAAAATTGAGAATAAAATTTTAGAAATTTGAGAAAGATGTTTCTCTATGAAAAACTTACCGCAAAAGAACGACTGAAGCTAACCACAGCATGTTTCGTGGCTGAATATACTGGTAGTTGAGGTGTAGCATAGAGACCAGTCAAAGATGATATGTTTACTATAGCTCCTCCTTTACCTCCGAGATCTTTTTGCATTTGTTGGATTCCTAGAAGCGTTGCACGTATCACTGAAGTCTAAGCAAAATATTTTTAATTAATGAATTGTAATCATAAAAATATTTTTACAAGCATGTTCTACATTCTAAGAAAAATGAACATGTGCTTTATAATATTTTGGATTACATCGTAAAAAATGTTGTATTCAAAAAATAACATTTTTGCTTACCACATTTACGTCAATAGTTTTCATGAAATCAGTTTCGTTCATTATATCAGCATTATTTACTAGAATTTCTAATCCACCAAGTGCTTTCACAGCTTTTTTAAACGTATCTATTAATAAAAAATTAGAAAAATTAGTATTTCAAATATATATATAATATTAATGTTTGTATTATGTACAGAGACATAGTAATATAATTATTTTATGAATAATAATATTTTACTTATTATTCATAAAAGTTTTCGTACATCTTATAAAAAGATTATTTTTACAAAAATAGATCATTATTGTACAATAAATATAATTAGTTATTAAAATATAAAATATTAACTTTACAGTTAAATTTTGTAGGACTTTATTTTAATAAAGATAATCTTTAAATATGGCTTGCATAAAAATTCTTGGATTGGATTATTGTTAAATTTATAAATGGTGTCCTTTGATTAAGATATTAATTTTAAAAATAAGTGGCACCAATGTTAAATTTTGACATGGAATTTTTTTATTAATATTACAACTATAAATTTTATTGTTTCTATAATTCTTATTTTTATTGTTCTTTGAATAGATATTTATTTATCATTTTTATTTCTTATCATGGTAGGTCTTGAGTTTTTTAATTTATCTAATTTTAGATTTATAAAATTATATTTTATAAAAGATACCATCAAATTCAGAATTGTTTGCAATATTACAATGGTAGAATATAGTACGGTTGCGTCCGAATTCCTTATTTAATATATCCACTGTTTCCTTGCCTGATTCTTCGGTATCTATCATCGCTATTATCTAAAATCATTTTTCATAAATTAGCATATTCCTGTATTAAATTATTTAAATGTTTCATAAACATTTTTATTTATGTGTTTTACATCCTCGTATGAAACATTTTATTTTAAATTCTAAATGTATTATTTTATCCAAATTGATCTATGAATTTAAAAATATATTTTCTCATTTTATCAATTACTTACAGATGCTCCATTTCTCAGCAATTCTCTGCTAATAGTCAAACCTAACCCACTTGCCATTCCTGTTATGATAACTCTTTTATCTTTGATCTGCATTTTTTTTTTATATTACTTCTTTCCTTTCCTTAAAAAAAATAGAAATCTTAATGATAAATAAACATAATAAATCTTTCGATACGTTTAATTTTTGTACACACTTCTTCTATTTGTTATATACTTTCCCTTTTCTTTTAAAAGATACAACTTACAACTTACACTTTATTAATTATACACTTCAAATAATATAAATAACTTTTTTACGACCTAAAAATATGTTTTATCTTTCCAATAGAAATGAATTGATCGATTTAATATCTGATATGTTAAATTTTGAACTTTCATGGAACAATTTCGTATAATTTTCACTATTTTGATTCATTTACAAAAATAGAAATTAGAATTGTGGAAGGATAAAATTGTTAAAGAGAAACGAGAGTCAAAGAGCGAAACTGTCAGAATTTTAACAGTTGTTGGTCGCGATACATTATTGGAAGGTTTCTATCAAAGATGATAAGGAAGAAACTTGTTGCTTTCATGTCATGATCTTCGACCTCTTTGCGTCATGATGATTGGCGAGAATATGTTTTCCATTATCTGTGCAATTTTCATTGCAACATATTTTGATCTGTTATTAAAAAATTTGAATTAATGTTGTGTGAATTAACTTCTCTCTCCTTTTTTAGATAAATTAAATTAGTGTAATTATAATTTGATAGTAATTATCTCTTATTTTTGCTTTATATTAGTTTAATATTTAATATTAAATCTTCTTTGTTATTCTTATTTTAACAATTTTTTTATAATTTTATATAAGTTAAAATTTAATATTTATTTTAAATTATTCTTGTTTTGTATCTTCGAGCTCGATTATACATAAAATATAATTGAATGCGCGTTGAAAGATTAAAAATTATCAAGCAATTTTGGCGAGAGTTTTGTAAAAATAAAAGATTTAATGAAAATATAATAGAATTGATGTCTTGCAACAAAATTTTTGGATCTTGGACATTAAATGATCCTTTTTAATATTAAATTATATCGAAAAGAATTTTTTATTATTTCTTTATTACATCATTAACATAAATTATAACAACAAAATTATTTTAATAAAAAAAACAGTAATACAAAGTGATTAACAATTAATAATTATATTTTTTTTATTCTACATAAAATAATTTTTTTTTTATTATAACTATGGTTTTATAAAGAGACTTTTATAATTGAAGTTCTACTTTTTTCAATGGAGGAAATTCAACAGCATAGGGTTGTTTACCTTCTTTACAAACCCATACAGCTTCATTTTTGCCTTTCTCGATAAGCTTTACCATGGCATCTCCAACATGTTCCGGCCTAAAAAATAACATATAATGAATATAAAAAATATTAATATTATTTATATTATATTATATTTGTTCTAAAATAGTTTTATCAATCAATATTTATTTTCGTTATATTATATCTTTATCATTGTATCATATTTTATCTTATCATATCTTATATTTTTTTTTCTATAAAATTTTTTAGATTATTTTAATCTGTAAGAAAGTTTTAATAAATTTTTTAAAACCTCGTCCATTCTTCTAATATAAATTATTTAAAAAAATTCTCAGGAAAAAATATAACAAGTAATTAAATAAGTATTATTAGAAGAAGTATATTATTATAACTAAAATACTAATATAATTCCATGTAATCTTTTTTTTTTTACACAAAAACTTTCAAATTGTTTATATAATATTTAAAATTTCACTTACGTTTGCGGAATCTCTTTTCCTAAGCAATTATAAAAATCATTTTGCGTAACAAAATCAAAAGCTTTAGAAATAGGATTTTCAAGTAAAGTCGTAGTTGTGACACCAGGGCACATTATGAGAATGCGAATTCCACTATTATTGTAGTATCTCTGAAATAATTAGAATAAATGTATGAATTAATAGGAAAACATTAAATTAAAATAAAATAAATAATATTCTTTGATTTCTTATATTTTCGAGAGAAATCTTATATAATTGTATATCTTATGTAATATTATCTTTATATAATTAACTTTTGGAATATCTGATCGATTATCAATATAATTCAATAATCTAATGATTATATTTATTGTTTTTAATTTTATATCATTACAGAAAAATATTGGATTAATTGAATTCTTTCCTTTTCTTATTATAATCTCTACATTTAAAAAATAAGAATATAAAATATAATAAAAATAGATGGTTAATCTAATATTTCTCTTCGAAAATCCTTGCAAAATTAAAAAATCGAAAATTTTTGGAAATATTTGTAAAATATTAAATATAACATCTAATTAATAAAATTTAGATCAATAGATAGATATTAATCAATTAAAGAAGAAAACTTCAAATCAAGTTAATTGATTAGACAATTAGTTAAACAAATATTAGAAAATTGAATGTTTTCATAAACAGATATTATTTCATTTAATATCTAAATCATGGACAAATTGTAATCAATTAAATTAAAAATTTTCTTATCTTATCTTTCGATTATTAATATTTCTAAAATAATTAAGATTATTTAAATATACCTACCGCCAAGCAACGACTGAATGCCAATACACAGTGTTTGCTAGCACAGTAAACGGGATTACTGTATATAATATCTAGAGCCACGATCGACGCAATATTTACTATAGTGCCACCTTTACCACCTTTGAGCTTGCTCATATGATCAAAAGCGAGCAATGATCCTTGGATTACACCACCCTAAAATTAAAAAAAAAAAAAAAATTAGGAAATAATTTCGTTAGGAGATTATATTGATATTCATCAACATTATATAAATATCAAATCTATAAAAATGATAGGTCAACTAGGCTCATTTCTTTTAAAAAGCAAATATGTATATTTAAATCAAACTTCTGTATTACGTGAAAATTTATAAAAGAAATTAAAATAATGTTTCTTGAATCTCTGTTTCTTTCTAAAAAATACAGATATTTTACTTACGACATTTATACACATAGTTTGCTCCCATTTTTTGTCGTTGTATATACCAGCATTGTTAATGACAATATCTAAGCCATTCAAATCGCTCACAACTTTTTTGAACACCGCTACAAGAATATAATTTTTAATGAATTAAATATTCAATAAAATATATTTTTTCATCGATGATCATTTCTAATCATTTTGTATTACTTTCATTTATATTAAGAACTTTTGAGAATATGAAACACCAGTTGAATATATTAATACTTTATATAATTATATAAAGTATTAGTAATTATATAAAGTAATTATATATTAATACTTAAAATCATAATACTATATTATTCGTAATACTATATAATTATTTTATATATTAGATCTATTAAATGAATTTCACTTTATTACTTTCATCTTCATTGCAAAGTTAAATCGTTTATAATTCGATAATAAAACAAACTTTAATGCATATTTTTGCATATAAACTTTTTTATTTACTTCAAAAATGAAAAATTTAAAGTAAATATATAGTATAATTTCTTTCTTGAAAAAAGAAAAAATTGAAATAATATATTTTATGAAATTAGAATTAATTAAAACATAAAATACCTTCGAATTCATTAATCTTGGTCACGTCACAAACATAGAATATCGCCTTGCCCTTTCCAAATTCTTTTTCCAAATTATTTGCCGATTGTTGACCAGGAGAAGAACTCAAATCGAGAAGAGCAACGCACTAAAAATTACACCAATAAATGGTTTTAACATTTAATAATTAATGAAACATAATTTATTTGTAAAAAGTATATTTTCTGATATAATTTTTTTGAAAATAATTAACCTTTGCTCCATTTTCTAACAATCTTTTAGCATAGACGAAACCAAGTCCAACGGTTCCACCGGTGATTAAAGCTGTTTTGTTCTTGATATTGTCTGTCATGATCTATAAAAAAATTTTTGTTCATATAGTAAAATTTTATATCTGAATAAATTTTAATTTTTATATCATTTCATTAATTAAAATTCGTTAATCAAATTTCGTTAATCACATTTTCTTCTATTAAAATTATTATTATTATTGTGTGTTATCAAACGTATAAAAAAAAAACGTTTTATCGTATAAAATCTAATCAAAATCTTTAGAAATTAACATTTTAATTTTTGAATTAGAAAAAAAAATAATGATTTAAAATTCAAAAAAAAATAATAATAATTATTTTATCTACTCACCAAGTTTGAATTTAAAACTTATGGAGTTTTTTATGAATTTATTTCAAACAATTAATAGATGTGAACAGTGTCGTTTCTGACTAAGGAATGAACCGTCGCTATATGCGTACATTAAATTAAATATATATTTATGGCAGACATCTATATCTGTACATATACATGAGTACGTATCATTGACACGTGATACAAAATAAGATTTTTTTTTAAATAGTTTTAGCGATGGAAAAAATTTATATCTATAACATATCTATAAATATACATATATAATTTGCTAAAATCAAATATATTAAATAATTGATAAATAGTAAAATAAATTATTAAAAATATAGTTTTCATATTATTTTATAATTTTTTTTCTTCATCTTTTTAATGCTATGTTGCATTTTATGTTTAATACATTGTTTAATACATTTCATTTATTAATACTTTTGTAATTATTTTTTTTGCAATCATTAGATGTAAAAAAAAATTATAAAAAAAATCAAATATTATCAAATATGAATTAAATATAAAAAAATTATATATTAAATATAAATTATATTTTATTTATTTTATTTATTTTGCTAAGTAGGTTATATCATGATTATAAATACATTTTGTAATTTTTTGAAAATTCAGCTTGAGTTTAATAATATATTAGATCGATTATCAATATTTTTTCAGTATTTTTAAAAATATTAAATTAAAAATATTAAATTAATAAAGAATTGAAAGATTGAAAGAAAAATTAATATTTCAATCCTTTTGAGACTAATAGAATAATAGATTTTCAAAGATTATATATTGTTATATATAATAATTATAATATAATCTTAGTAAAATTATAATATATATATAAAACTATAATATTACTATATTCTAATATTACATTTACATATAACTATATCACATGTAAATGTTATTTATCATATTTATAATTTTCGTTATATAATGAATACCATTATTTTTAAAATTACTAAATTATTTATGCAAAGAAACTAATTATATTTATCTTTATTTATGTAAATAAAATTTTACATGTGCATATATTCCAATAGAATGATTCAATTATCGATAAATATATATATTTATCGATAATTGATTAAATATATATTAATAATAGTATGTTAAATATAAATCACATTACATATTATTATTATATAAATTATATTTTTTAATTAAATATATTAATTAATTGAATTAATTAAATATAATTTTATTTTTTATACTTAGTTCAATATAATTGTAATGATGTTCAATATAATTGCAAGGATGAAGAAATTTTACAAAACGATGAAGAAAAGTTCAGAATAATAAAATGTTAAGAGAAAGATGACAAAAATGAATTCAATAAGAAATAACAAAAATAATGAGTAAAATATTTATTTTTTCAAATTTTAATAAAGGAATAAAATATAAAATATAAAATATACTGATAACATCTTATAATATAAATGTTTTTGATATGATTATCACTAAAAATAAATTAATTTTTATTGATAAATGTTATCAATTTAATAATTAATATAATGTATTGTAAATTATTATAATACAATACACATATTAAATAGTGATTGTTATTTAATATTTTTTGATATTTAATATTACATTTAATATTTAATATGTAATTGTTATTGTTATTGTTAATAATTATTGTATTGTATTATATATTAATGTATTTATATGTTTAATTTTATATATTAGAAAAATTTTCAAAACATAATTATATATATTTTATATATTTGTATATTTTTCATATTCATTTTCATTTTCATTGTATATCATGTGATTTTTATATTATTTTTGCAACATCAGCAGTATAATTATCTTATCATAAATTAAAAATTCAATTGAAATTTCGAAAACAATTTGTTATTTTGAAGCATTCGATTGACGTTCTGAAAATATTTTTTTAAATTCGATAAAATAAAGCAATTCAATCGATTTATTTTATTTTATTATGATAGAATAAATTTTCAGTGATATACTAGAAATAAAATATACTATAGAATATAAAATATTTTCAATCGTAAAAATCTCAATACTCTTTTGAGAAGATTCTGCATTAATTATCAATTCAGGTATAATTTTCATTAAAAAAGAATAGTTTATTATGAATTTTTAATAAATATTAAATAACCATTTAATATTAATTCGAATCTTTCATAAATAATAAATTAATAAATGTATAATATGTAAGTTATAAATTTATATCAATTAAATTAATAACAAATTGATAATTGTTTAGACCAAATTTATCTCTGGTTTCATTTATGTAGAGACTTTTAAAGTGGTATAATTAGGAAATTCGACTGCATAAGGAGGTTGATTATTTTCGATAACGAATATTGCGCCATTCGCCCCCTGCTCGATTAATTGGATAATGGCACTTGCTACGTGTTCCGGCCTGTTAACAAATATTATTATATTTAAATAAAATTGATAATTTATTAACATTTATGAATTATTAATTGATATATATTATTAGAAATTTATTGCGAACATTAATTCAATATGCAATTTTTAATATTAATATCTTTGAAGTATAATATTCTTTATTTTTTTTTTTTACATTTCAATTATTTTAAAAATATGATTATATATATAATATAATTATCATATTTTAAATGAAATTGTAATTAATAATTAACATAAATACATTTTAATATTTTTTTTTTTAAATTTCGTTTTTTAATTCTAATGGAAAAATTTATTTACGGTTGTTTTTGCATAGTGACCATCGCCATAGCCGCTGTTTCTTCGTCGAGAAGATCCATAGCATGTTCTTTGGTGGACATGAATCTGGCAGCCATAGCTGTGGTTGTCAATCCAGGACATATCGTCAACATGCGGATGCCAGTTTTTTCATAATAATGCTTTGGTTTTTTTTTAAAAAAAAGAACTATTTTAATATTTCAAGGTAAAAATTTTAAATTTATATAAAGTACTTTAAAAATAGATAGCTAAAATTTAATGTCATGTTTTTTTTTCTCTGAAAAATATTTATATCTTAAAAAAATATTTATTTTTTTTTATTTTTTTCAAGATTAAATTTTAATTATTTAATTCTGAAAATATTTTTCCATTCTATTAAGAAAATATCTAAAATTTTAGTGTCTATAGAAATTTGTATTTTTTAAATATTTTTTTCTTAATTTTTATATAATTATATTTGTAAGATAAATTGGATATATCAAATTCTTATTGTCTTAATTTAAAACTCAAAACTTTAATTTTTCTCAAGAATTGTTTTCATACAAAATTCATATATACGCGAATTTTCAAAAATTCATTTTGATATGATAGAATTTTCATTCCATTTTTTACCTTCAATGATTGAGTGAATCCAACAATGGCGTACTGTGTTCCGCCATAAATAGGCGCTATAGGGATACCTTCGAGACCAGCTACAGAAGACATGTTCACGATAATACCACCATTGCCACCCTTATATTTTCCCATTGTGTGCAAGCCTAAGATAGTTCCATAAACGATACCTTTCTACCAATAGAAAACAATTGGTAAATTTTTCACATTTTTTGAATAAATAATATAATAATTTTGAATAATGTAAAGTATAATAATGATAGGTTTACTATTCTAAAATATTAATGTGTAATGAGTCATATTATTACAAATTCATAAATTAACAGTTTTTTGATTTTTCTCGAAAAAATAAAGAATTCGAAATTTTTTTAAGATTTACAATAATTTTTGATTGATGTATAAAAATTTATAATGATTTATAAAAACATGCAATTCTTTAATATTATTTATTTTCATTTTTGTTTTAACTATTTCGATACTATAGGTATCTTATATTTATATTTTATTATAATATTATTATAATATTATGATAAAGAAATATGGGATTACTTACGTAGTTAATATCGACCATAATTTCCCAATCTGCATCATCCATAATACCCGCGATATTTACAAGAATGTTTAAAGTTTCATACGTGTCAATAACTTTCTTGAACGATTCTGTACACAATATTTTTATCATATGTGTCATTATAGTTGATATTTAATTAAATAATATTAAATTAATTAATTAATAAATTTGAAATAATAAAATAAAGATAGTTATTAAAGCGTTTAAGAGATAAATACAAGTTGATATTTGATTAATAGAATTTTCAAACATTAGATATAGTATTTAAAAAAATATTAATTATGTAATGTTATTATTATATTTTGAGAAAACATAAAATAAACATTTTGTTATGTAACAAACAAATATTCCATATATAATACACAATATACAATATGCAATATGCAATATGCAATAAAATATTGTAATTTCTTATTAAATATTTTGTATTTATAATACATAATATATATAAGCAAGTTTTGATATTCAAATTTTATTCCATATTTCTAGAAATTCATATTTTATTATATATGTATATATAAATTAGAATTTTGATTAATTTTATTTCTCTATATTTATCAAAAACTTTTTATTTTTTTTTAATGATATATATATGATATATGATATATATGATATATATATATTTTTTTTATTATATAGCATATAGCAATATGTATTTTAACATAAACATTATATTAAACAAAAAAGATAAGAAAATTTGTTGATCAATCTATATATGTAAAATATAATATATAAAATATATAAAGTAAAAATTAAACAAGAATGATATTTATAATATATGAACATGAGATAATAGTGATATGAAATAATATGACAAATTAAATAATACTATCATTTGAGTAAGATGAACAAGAAAAACAAATTAGAAGAATATTAACTTATAAATAATTTATCATAATTTATAAATAATTTATTTAATCAAACTAAATTATTTTATGCTGCTGTAACATGATGCAAACAAATAGATCGTTGTATAAATAAAAAATAATAATATATACTAAAAGAAAAAAAGAAAAAAAAGAAAATTGATCCAAAATAGGAATGAAATAAAGTATCATTAATAAAAAATAATTTTTAATGGCTTAAACTGTTTAAAACATTATGTTATAGATCCAAGAAGATATCAAAATTTAATTTTTATAAAAAATTGTTATTTTAATTATAATTTAGCTATTTTAGTTTAGCTTACATTAATAGAAATTAAAATATTTGTAAAAAAAATCTAGTATATTCAGAATATTAAAACAATAGAAAAATAAAAAAGATTTATTACAATAATTTAAGTCAAAACTTTCAGCCAATATCATCTATTTGCATTTATCTTAAGTAAGTAAATCTTTTTTTCTTCTCTCTTAATTGATACAAAAAGATCAATAGATCAAGAAAACATCATACATAACGCGATCTTTTCATATTTTCATTTATTTATTTAATAATCTTCAATTACCTTGAAATTGCTCGTTCTTTGATACATCACAAGCAATAAAAATGGCTCTGTCCTTTCCAAATTCATTGTTTAAATCTGCAGCTGCGCTCTCACCACCAGAATCGCTTAAATCCAACAGAGCCACCGCCTGAATCACATAAATGAAACTGAAGATAGAGATAATAATTGGATCGCAAAGGATACATCGAGAAAAATATTTATTCAACTATACAATATTTTTCTATCACAACAAATAATCACAAATGCTTATATTTCATCCAACTTTGAGATGAATATAAAATATTTTTTCTTATTACAAAGAATTATCACATGAAATTCGTAATGTTAGATTTGAAATGAATATTAATATACAAATCCAACACAAAATCAAAATTTAATATTCAAATTAATATTCCAAATTTGTACCTTCGCCCCATTTCGAAGTAGCTTACGAGCGGTGCAGAAGCCGATTCCGTTCGCTCCACCGGTTACGATCGCGATCTTACCCTCGATGCTCATTATCGATCGCAGAAAAAGAAATGGATGGCAGTCCTGTTTTTATTTCTTCCAGCTGGATAACAACGGTGGTTTTCGTGGCGTGCACGCGCGAAGCCTCGCCTCGCGAATATATCCCACGACCGAGGGCCTCCACGGCGACACGGAGGCGAAGGTGAAACACGAGAAATCGGGAATCAATCGTACGAGATTGAATGTCTCCCGCGGATAATCCGATGGGATAACGTGACCACCGTAAACAGGATCGAATTTACGCCGATCGATGGAAAGTTGGGCGCAAGGTGGCACGGTATCGTGGTATTGATGTTTATATGGATTTATTGAGTTACCGTGCAACGTTTCAGATCTCTGCTGTCCACATGGCGATAGACAATAATTTTGTATGGTTGGAACAAAGATGGAAGAACGGAGGAGGATGGAGGTGAGAGGAATGGAATTGCGAAGGAAACGAGTTGATCGTTGATTTAATTAACGCGTTAGTTGTGTCGGGTATATTGTAGAAATGATAATTTTTTGTATTGTGACTCGAAATATTATACTCGTCGTCTTTTCGTTTTTTTTACGATTTAGATGAACATTTTTAAAATAGGAAATATTTTAAATGGATTAACAATTTATATATAATAAAGTTTTAAATATCATGGAAGAGATATTGAATAATATTCGAATAGAAATTAATTAGAAATATTATTTCAAATATTATGGAAATTTATGGATTATTTATAGATTTGAAAGCTTTATGAAGAAATTGAAATTTCTTTATTTTGAAGATATAATACATAATTAATAAGTAATAAGTAATCAAATTGATTGATTGATTTTTTTTTCTTTCAGTATCAATCTAAAATTATATAAGAATGTTCGTGTTTGAATATCTATACAGATTGCAAAAATTAAATGTAAAATTAAAAAAAAAATATAAAATATTTATAAAAATATAAAATATTATATAAAAAAATATAAAATATAAAATATATAAAATTTTAGTTATAAAATGTTTAGTTTATGAAAATAATTATAAAGATTTCATAAAACTAGTTTATGCTTTATAATAATAGCAATGCTTTAATATAATAGCAATTAATATTGCTATTTATAACATAAATATCTAATAAGTCACTTTATTATATATATTTAATTACACTTAAGAATAGTCATGCTTACTATGTATCTATTAAACAATTTTGTTATTTTTACAATAATTGATATTTTAATATATACATGTTATCTCGATTATTTGTTTACTATTTATGAAAATGTATAACTAATCGGTAGAAATTACAAAAAATTAATCTTTTATTTGAAAGACTGGAAATAAATCCGAAATGGGATAGAAATAAAAAAATGATAGAATGTTTAGAAATAAAAAAATGATAGAATGTTTAGAAATAAAAAAAAAAATATTACTTGAAATTATTTCATTATATTTAAAAAACAGTCATCTTTAATATACAAAAAAATTTTATAAAATTTATGTAAAAATTATGCTGAAATTAATTTGAAATTTTTAAATCGATATGATCAATCAAATTTGATTCAAATTTGAAAGTTTAAAAGATAATTGATCTATTTTTGATATATTTAATCTGTGATAAAGATTGAAAAACTAGCGCCATCTTTAAAATACCTTAAATAAAACCAATAGTAAAAGAAAAATACGAACTGATTGTTAGCGCCATCTCTTAAGTATTTTTAAAAACATATTGGCATTAAAAATGATTATTTATTCTTTCTTTTATCCTTTTCTAATTATTTGCTTTCCTTATTTTTGTTTCTTTAAGTATTCCAGAGATGGCGCTAGTTGTACGATTTTTACTTATTTTTCTTAT